ATCAAAAGACCCTTTTGGGGTAGGGGCGTGTTTGTTTTGGTGATTTCATATATAACATTGGCTACCAGAAATCGCTTACCCTGCCTTTAATTTTAAACAATTTATTTAGTCCTTATTATTTGAATTTGAAACCTAACTTTTGTTTTGCTTAAAAAGAGTTTGTGTCTAAATACTTTCTGTGATGTTTGACGTATGTGTCACTTTAGTTGTCAAAGTGATTTGGAGTTGCTGGGGAAAGTTTGCTCTTATTGGTGGCAGTGTTGTTTTCCCAGCAGAGCCAGCACAGGTGATGTGAGGAATGTGAAGGGTCTGCCTCAGCTGTCTGAGAGATTGTGCCATGCCATGACTTTACTCCGACAACTGTCTGGCCGTGTATATGACATCCAAGTAATTAGCTAAAAACCTCCCGGTGTGGTCAGAGAGCTGCATGCTTTCGAATCAGATTTACAAGTCACCTCACCACTATAGGTTACTATTGTTCTAAAAGCATGTGCTTACAGAAATGTACTGTGTGAGTGGTGTACAGTGGTGGTGATATCATAGTCCTGAATGATTATGTTCATATATTTACATGACACTTATTTTAAGCATACCATGGTGCTATAATGTATTTAAATAAATTGTTAAAACAACAGCAACAACAACATCAACTACTGTACTACCACCATAGACTTTTTGTTAAAATTTGTGAGAATCTTGAGATCTCTTTTAAAGAGGCTTTCAGTTTGAAACAAAATCACATCACAGGTTTAATAACAATTCCTTGTTATTAAATATTAACGCAGAGCAGAAATAGAAGTTGCATCATATAGCCTGGGGGGAGAAAGACAAATTTTAGTGACTACTTGAAATGGTCCTGTGAAATCCTTTTTTTTTTTTTTTTTGCCATATTCTGTTTCTTTCTGTTTTTATTTTCCTGGATTCTGTTTAAATGGTTAAATTAAATTTTAGAAATCAAAAAGCATGTCACATTAACTGAAATCATGAAACTTATACAACTCAACAGCAATTTATTCAAAGTTTAACATTACATCTTATAGGGCCCTATTTATTAAAATTACATTTCCCCTAATTCTGTTAGATTTTTTTCTAAATTATGTGTTTTCCTTTTTAATTGTTCTGGATTCCACTTTAATGGTTTAATGAAATTTTAATCAAAAAGCATTTCTAATCAATTGAGTTTGTAACACTTGAACAATTTAATAATTTATTACAATTTCTAAAATTATAGGGCCATATGAAATGTTTTATTTTTTCAGGATGTATGATTTAATACACATTTATTATCAAAAACGGTAGTAATCATATGAAGGCATAAAACATGAACAATTTAATTCATCTTTAAAAATGTAATCAAATGAAAATTGAGCAATTCCTATATTTTTTTTTGGCAAAGTAGTGCACAACAGAGGCTGTGTGATAGTCCTTCAAAATAAAGTTTTAATAAATTTATTATTACTTTTAGAAGTAAATTTTACTGTATAATTTAATAAGCATCTATCACAGTTTCTTCATTTTAAACCAAACTTTTATTTTGGCAGGTTGTAGTAGTGAAGACCTTTGAGTTTCCATGTATATTTGATATGATTAGAGATGCACCGATCGACCTGACAGGGACCTGAATTAACCGATTTTCCGCATGATCGGGTGGGCTTGAGCCCATGCCCCTTTAATCGCCGATGCTAAAGTGCCCTTTCGGTCTGCAATTTCTACCAAAGGGGATGCACCCCCTTTCCTCACGTGACTTCTCCCCTGCCCCTCCGGAGGTCTGTGCTCGCCACTGCATATCATGATATGATGAGTTTATTTATCTAAAGTTTGCCATATTCTGTGACATTCCATGTTATACTGTAAATTCCATTTTAATGACTTGATTCCGCGATTCTGGCAGCAATTTTCACATCGTGGAAATCATAAGGCCCTATTGTACTTTATGACTTCTGGAGACGTCTAGCTGATTGTAAGAGGCTCTGTATGATGAACCTAGCTTGTAGGAGAAATCCGAAGTGTTTTTGTACCACAATAATACACTGGAAAAAAAACCAATAAGTAGATTTACTTGATTTTTATTTTGCTCGTTTTTGCGCACACAAATTTTATGTAAAATTTAAGTATTGAATTAAGTAAAATCTACTTAACTAAGTTAGGTAAAATTAGCAAAGGAAATAAGTAAATTTAACATGGCCATTTAGAGTTCGATGAGTAATTTCTACTTAATTATTTAGTTAAATATGCAATACTGAAGTACATTTCCCTCAGTTACAATTTATAAAATTTACTCAAACAATGTAGCACTGGAAAACAACCATGCTATTAAAGCATGTGGTTCACTTGCAAACATGTAAGTAAGCAAGTAAGCAGCTTGTTATCCTTTGAAGATAATATGTCCACTCAATATAATTATTACCCAAATGAACACAGAAACCTCAATACTTGGTACACCATACACAATGACGGTAACAATCAGTGGATAGTGTTTGAGTATAAACGGGTCATTTTGAGTAGATCACAAACAGTAAGTTACTAAACCTAACACTTGGTACACCATACACAATGACGGTAACAATCAGTGGATAGTGTTTGAGTATAAATGGGTCATTTTGAGTAGATCACAAACAGTAAGTTACTAAACCTAACGACAAAATCGACCGTAAAACAGTGTAAATACAACTCGAAAACAGTGAAAATTTGAACCTTTTTAATTATGCATGCCCCAGTGCATGATGGGAAAAACGGG